ATCCGCACGTCCCCTTCACTCCCCTCCCCGCCGCGGGGGGTGGGGAGGAGAATAAGAAGGAAGGGGAGGAGGAGGAGGTGACGCAGAGATGGCGAGCGAGCGAGGTGGACGCCAGTCGAGAAATTCAGATATCTGAAAAAAATCAGATATCTGAAAACTGATTGTTAAAAATAATAGAGGAAAATCAGACATCTGAAAAAAACAGATATCTGAAAATGGGTCGGGTGAATGTGCGAATGTGGATGGGTGAGCTGGCTGCCACTCATGGCACTGACAGTGCGGCGCACTGCGCTGGCATGCTCCCCGCGTGGCCCCTAGCAGCTTCCGTTGTCATCTCACTAGGCTTTGAACCAGGACTTGATCGCGGCGGCCTTCTTGTTGCCAGACTTCAAGTCCTCCTTCAACGCGTTGCAGACTGCCGCAGCCTCAGCGATCTCCTGGTCAGTAAAGTTCTGCCGTTCAAGAACTTGGCCTCCCAACGGCGCAGCTTGGCGTCGGTGACCTCCAGCGCGTCGATGGCGGTCTTCAGCTCGGCCTCGAACTTGCAGCCCTGCGTGTTCGGGTGTTCGGCAGACTGCGCCACGGTGGCGCTCCACTCCCTCTTGGCCTTGTCCACGGCCGAGTGGCCCTTCCTGACGTTCGCGACTGCAGTCTTACTCTTCGCGTCCATGCCTGAGTCCGCACTTGCGACCGATGCGGCAGGCCCCCCCGCGGGGCCTGGCAAGTTGGCGGCGGTCGGCACGTTGTTCTGGACGCGCGCATGCGCGAACTGCTTCACGAAGTCCTCGTGCGAGTGGTCATCGAGGTGCTTCGCCTCTCCGAGCTCGGACCGATCCTGCACCCGTCGCTTCTTGCTGAAGACCTCCTGGCCGTAGTAGACCTCCAGGTGGCGTGGGAAAGGGACTTTTGTATCTGCGCCCAGGCGGTGGCTACGCCTCGACGTAATCGCACCGCTCTGGACCATCTCAAGCAGCGCGTCCTCGTCCTCCTTCATGCAGGCCTGTTTCCAAGATATCCAACCTCCCTCGGAGCCCTGCGCCGACTCGTCCTCCACTGCCCTGTAGCGCCTCAGGAAGTCATCTGTGTACTTGCCCTTCGCCTCGATGACGGTCGTCATGAACTGCTCGAGCTCCGTCTTGTCCCCCGCCGTCACGAGCCGCGCGTGCTCGTCCTTCAGGGATTGATCAGCCGTCTTGATGCGGTAGTTGAACTTGTTGTAGAAAGCCTTGTCCGACGCGGCTCTGAACATCGAACCGTCGGCTGAATCGCTACTTGCGTCGCTGCCAACCCCTCTCGAGCACCCGGGTGCGCTGGGGGCCTCCGTGCTGGCTGGGGCCTCGGTCTTGACGACAGCAGGCGCCTCCGAGGCCGTCGTAACGCCAGGTTATGCCTTGACTCTCGTAGCGTGGAGGCAGCTCAGAATGCGATGCGGCTCAGGCGCAGGCCCATCGGGCAGCTTAGCGCCCCTTCGGGCCATGCCGAATGCCAGGCTGAGGCTGGATGTATGGCCAAACGTGATGCTTGAGCAAAAATGCCCTCGGAGTGTGGTGCTGGCCGTTGTGATGGTCTTCACGGTCAATGTTCCCATGGCGTGATGGTCTAAACCCGCGCAGAGGAATGGTTCTCCAGTGACACCCAACCCCGCACCCCGCAACGTCCATTAAGGGATTTTCGTGCTATCCTGAACTCCCCCCTAAGGGTTGTTAGGGGAGGTTGGTTCCGAAACAGGCGGTGCAGAGTGAAGTCACCATTCCGATGACGACGACCACGATGGTGGAGATACTGATAATGACGATGATAATGATGATGGTGGTGATGATGATGGTTAGTATGGTGAGTATGATGGTAATGGTGTTGTTGATGATGATGATGACGATGACGATTATGATGATGATGATGATGGTGATGGTGATGATGGTGATGATGATGCTGATGATGATGGTGGTGATGATGTTGGTGATGATGTTTTTTTTCCTGAAGGCTCGCATTCGCACGTGCCACGCGCGAATCTCAGCTTGCATGCGATACTGCGCCAGTGCGCCATTGGAGCCAGTCGGCTTCTGCCCACTGGAGAACGCACCGGAGGAATAACGAACATGGAAACCAGATCATATGGATTGCGACGATCAAAACTACCGCGGGGGCGCATCTCAGTCGCGTGCTCGCTGACTCCTCCGTCTGGCAGCCGTGGGTGCACCTATTGGACCTGAGACCGATCACGCACGAACTTCCTGGCATCGCCAACTGTCTTGATGTCGCTGTCTTTCTGCAGCAGCTTGGCGAGGAGCTCAGCCATGATGGTAGCGTACTCCTCGTGCGCGTTGGCGCTCAGGCCGCACGCGTACTTTGCCGCAGGGCCGTGGACGATGTAGGACTCCAACTTCTTCTGGTTCGGTGCCTTGCGCCTGGTGACGAGGCGCACTGGGGCAAGGATCTCAGTGGCACCGGGAAGGCCCAACCACACCCTTGCCTTGCCACGTTTGGCTTTCATGACTGTCCTGACCCGACTTGGAGCCGCAATGGCGTGGGCCATGGCCTGCTTGCCCGTGATGCGCCGCAGCGGGCGCTTTGGAGTGGCCAAAGTATCTTTGCGTTGCATGCCCCTGCCAGGATTGGGAACTACGATGGGTTTCTGCTCCTCCTCGTCGGGTATCGTGATGGGGCCCCTGGCCTTCAAGCAGCTCTCGCAGTTACACAACTCCTTGATTTGGCTCGTCGTTGTCTGAGTCGCCCATCTCGTCGAAATTTGGGAACATGTCGTTCACGCCTGCCGCTGTCACCGCAGTAGCCGCGGACGAAGCCACACTCGGCGCCGCTGGCGCCTCTTCCTGCGTGGCGGCGAGCACAGGCGCGGGGAGCGCAGGGATGACGATCTGGTTCGCCAGGTTCTTGATGGAGTCATCGCTCGACATCTCGATGTCGCCCTTTTTCATCAGGTGCAAATTCCGCATCATGATGCGGAACAGGTCGGCCGCATCAGCGCAGACTCTGGGGAGCTGGGGGACACCGCAGTCGAAGATATTGTGGCGAGCGTTGGCAGCCATCAACGCCGCACGAAGGTCGGCGTGGCTCGGGTAGCCCGTGTTCGCGATCTTCACGAGCCCTTGCAAAGGTTTAGCGTACTTCCTCATGCCCTCGTGGTCGATGGGCTGCTGGCGGCTCGTCTGCTTGTAACCTGAGCAGTCCCAACTGAACCCTGGGTTCCGCAATTCGAGCAAGTCCTTCCACTCAGACAGGAGCGTGGCGGACGTGAACTTCACGGTCACTGGACGAGGTGCCCTCTTACCCCCATCGCTGGACATTGCAACTTCTGTTGCCAAGGGAATATGGAAGGAGGCCGAAACCAACAGACAGATAATCATCTTGAGCCAAAGCGGCTACGGAAACACGATGAGTAGGGGAGACGATAGCAACGGTTCCTTCGGTGGAGATCGCCGTACCAAAGGTCTGAGGTGAATCCGACCTAACAACAACGATGGCCATGCAACTCGTGCGTTTCCAATCCCAGCCTAGGCCACCACGACGATGCGAATCGAATCCTACCCAATCGTCGCAACTCTAATCCTAGCCCGCCACGGCGCTGGCCATGCCATGCGTGTGAGTCCAACAACAACAACAACAATAACAACAACAACAACAACAACAACAACAACAACAACAACAACAACAACAACACCAACAACCAACTGCGTTAGCAAGTGAACAGGCTAAGGCCCCACTACAAGTCGCACCTGGCGTGCGAATCTGACCCTTGCTCGCCACGGCGATGGCCGCACCAGGCGTGTGAGTCAAACGACAAGAACAAGTTAACATATCAACAAATTAGCATGTTAAGTTAACAAGTTAACAAATTAAGTTAAGTTAACAAGAACAACAACACATTAGCGGTTTTAGATTAATTTCAACTCATGCAACTTAGCTTTTGCATTGCCTATTAATATATTAAGAAATAAAGCTGCGGCAGCTATGGGGCAGAAAGGGCCCCCCCCTCCCGGCAAGGAGCCCTCGCCTCGGCGAGGGCCCCCGCTCCCGGCAGGAGCCCTCCCCCCTCTCGGCGGGGGCCCCCCTCCCGGCGAGGGGGTGTCCTCCTGGCAGGGCCCCCCCCCCGCAAGAGAACAACACCTGCACGGATGGAGACAACTCAGCTTTCAAGACAGGGCTCTCGCTCCGGCGCCGCACGAGCGCTCGTCGTAGCCCCGACCGGCTCTCGCAACAGGGCTCTCGCCGTGGAGTCGCGCGAGCTCGCATTCAATGCTGACGCTTCCTCAAAAAGGCCGAACTGCAGGCAGCTGTTTGCCCGCTCCACGGGAGGAGGGGTCTTCTCATGGATTCTGGCCGCACTGGAGAGCACGTCAGATGCTCATGTGGGCCCAAATGTGTCCGGGTGACAACAAGGAGGCCTGAGATAGAATGGTTACGGAGAAACGCTTCGTCCTCACCTTCACGCTCCTCTTCTCAGGCTGACCTCTCGCCTCCCCATCCTTCCCCTCCTCCCCCATACACCTTCCTTATCCTCCTACTCACCCTCCAGAAACTCATGGACCTCCAACTTCTCATATCCACCTGCTCCGTCTCCTCCTTATGCGCCTCATCCTACTTCCCCTGCTATCTCCACATCCCCCTCCGTATCCTCCTCTTTGTCCCCATCCCCCTGCCCCCCCCCTGCCACCCCCTTGGCTCATCATGTCCCTCCTCCGCGTGCACTTCTTCCGCATCCCCATCCATCAAATCCTCCTTTCATGTCTCCTCCCCCTCTGCATCCGTCAACATCCTGCTTCACAGTACATATGGTTGGACCGCGTTGTAAAATACGATACATCCCGTTCTGCGTAATGTTACAATTGCCCGAACGGTAAACACATTCTCCAACACGGGACTGCATGCACAGCAATGTTTACCAAGCAGCTTGCGCCCGTTCCAATGGTCCACCTCGGCTCCACACAAGGCAACAAGCCTCGGCGACTCACCCTGCGGAGTGCTCAACTGCCCAGCGGGGTCACCATGGGCAATGCCATCAGCGCACGGCAGTACGGGTGGATCCCTGTGCACAATCATGGGACAAACGAGCATGGGCGACGTTGGCGTCGTGGGCTAATGTATGGAATGTTCCAAACTGGGGAAAAACACGAGACAGAGAGAGAGATAGAAAGAAAACAAAAAACAAGAAGGAGAGACGGAACGACAGAACAAGAACACAGAAAAACAAGCAGGCACAAAGAAACGGAACACAGCCGACCGAGTGGCAAGGCTGACGCGGGAGGGATGAACCCATACCTGGCAGTGCATAGGCAGATTCCTCAGACAGTGGTTCTTACCTATGGCATCAGAAACCTGGCCCAGCGGGTCGGTCTGGCGGCCATGTTCTCGCCGTCGCCGCCCGGTCGCCGCCTCGTCGTCGCCCATCGTCTGGGCCTGCGCGTCGGTCTGGCGGCGATGGTCTCGCCGTCGCCGCCCCGTCGCCGCCCGTCGTCAGGGCCTGCGCGTCGGCCTGGCGGCTGTGGCCCCGCCATCGCCGCTCCGTCGCCGCCCCGTCCCCGCCGCGTCGAAGTCGCCGCCCCGCCGCCGCGTCGTCGCCGCCCGCCGCCTCGTCGCTACATTGCTTCCCATTGCTTTGCATTGCGTTGCATTGCGTTGAATTGCTGCGCGTTGCTTTGCGTCACTGTGCGTCACCTTGCCAACGTTGCCATGCGTGGCGCTACTTTGCACTGCAGTACGCTGAGTTGCACTACTGTCTTTGCTTCGCCGTGCACTGCATTGCACTGAGTTGCACTGCTTGCATCGCTGTGTTCTTTGCGTTGTCTTTCAGTGCTAAACGTTGCGTTGCATTGGCGGCCATTGCTTGGCATTGGGCTGCATTGCGCTGATTTGTTCTGCATAGACCGCACCACATAGATTGTACCACCTAGACTGTTTTTTTTATCGCATCTAGTACAACGCATATACTACACCACATCGGTTGCACCACAAGGTTACACAACCAGTTTTACACAACATAGGTTGCGATACATCGACTGCACAACCTGGATCACGATACTGATGTCTGTATATACGAATAGATGTATACATATAGATATATGTATGTAAAGATTGGTTGCACAACAGAAACTGCATAAAAAAAATATCGTACCACATGGGTCGGAAACACACACACAACGTACCGCACGTATTGCAGCAAAAATCTGGCACCGCATACATTGCTACACATAGATTGCACAACATCGATTGCCAGAAACAACTGTTTGGGGTTCACGCTCGCTTGGATAAGTACGTACACATATGAAAAGCTGACGAGCGAGACACGAATACCAAGAACGATGGAGAGTGCCAACGTGGAGCCATGAGAGAACCTCTTCTACCCTGGTAATGCTCTCATTCTCCCAGCGACTCTCTCGCACCCACCTCCCTCACATCAACTCTCCCATCCCCCCTTCCCCTGCACTGTCTATCCCCACCCCTCTCCGCAGTTGTACCTCAACCTCTTTATCCTGTACTCGATCTGGCATCCAAGAATGTTTGCCACTCTCCCTCCGTATCGCCCATCTGGTTCCAACCTTCCCTCGCTCCCGCCTTCCCTCCTCTCCCTCGTGGTTTCTCTTCCTCCCCTCTACCCCTCCGTGCCCCCTCCCTCATTCCGCACTTTCGGAACACAGTGCCGCCCCTTCGAAGCACAGCATGTCTTCTCTCACTTTCTCGACGGCGGCTATGCAAGAGCGACTGTGCTTGCGGTGAGGCGTTGGAAGATGCTCGCATGTGAATTCGGCCACCATGCAAGAGGGGGGAGGGAGGAGTAGGGGAACAAACAGTGACATCAACACAAAAACTCGGATGTCTGCGCGGATTTCTCGGATGGGCGCTGGACCCCCCAGGCGGCGCCTCTGGCGCCGCCCTTGGCGCGCTCCGCGCGCCAGGGAGGGGGGCCAGCGCAGATCCGAGAAATCCGCGCGGACCTCCGAGTTTTTATGTTTCTGTCACTTTTTGTTCCCCGAAGGAGGCGCCCGGCGACGGCAGGGGGGAGGAGGAAGCCGGGCTCCCTCACATGTACCCATCGGTCGGAAGAAGTAGGTTGAAACATGAAGTAGAAGGCGTTGGAAATAGATTAGGTTTCCGCCCTCCTCCTGAAGAGGAGGGAAGAGGGAAAACCACTCGACTCTTGAAGTAGGAAGGCGCTGAAAGTAGATTGGAATCTGGGAATCCAAGAACACCTACTTTCAACGACCGATGGGTAGAGATGTGGCCCACACCACAGCCCGGGGAGGTGCGCGCGCTTCCCGGGGCTGCGTCGCGCGGGGTCCCCATGGCGCTCCGCTGTGCTTGCCGATTGTTGCCCCGTCCCGGGAGGCAGCCCACTTCCAGAGGCGCCGAAGAGACAAAGGAGGCCTTCGGTGGAACTCCCTACGGGCTACGAAACGCTGCCCTGGGTGGGGGAACCGCATGCGGGCACCCCCACTAGGGCCTTCGGCGGAGCTCCTTATGGGGCCACGAAACGCTGCCCTGGGTGGGGGAATCGCATGCGGACAGGCCACAAGACGCCTTTCGCAGGAAACCCAACCCCTGAGACCCCAGGACGTCCGTGGATGTTCGGTGTGGGAGCGTCGCGGCTTCCATCGCAAAGCAAGCGAAACCCGAGAGACCCAGGGCACCCTGGAGGCAGGCAGGGCGTTTCTTGGCATGGGTCTCCACTGTACTCCTCCCCGACCGCGCGGTTTCTGCGGGCTGCTTGCACAGGTCGGCGAGCTGTGTCATCCGCCGCCGCCATGTGTTTGGGATCCACGCTCATCGTTTGGCTGCAAGAGCGCAGCTGCTCCGAACGCTGGCGCTGAGCGTGCTGCGGCCAACGAGCTGCAAAGAGCGAGCATACTCAGGCGAACGAAGGGCAGCGGATCGCGCAGCGCACACGTTGCACTATTGGCAGAAACAGCTGGCAAGGCGGCCGGCAGCGCTCAAATTGGAGAGGTTGACCCAACACACACTCGAAATGCTACATGTTTCGGAATTCGAGGCGAGAGAGCATGGGACCAAGCGTGCGTTTGGGACCGAGTCTGCACGACTAGGGTGAAGAGGAGAATGCAGAAGGGAGAGGGAGGAGGAAGGATGGGAGCCAGCTGTGCATCAACAGCGCGTCTGTCTGGATGACTCTCTGGACCTCTCATGCGGCCGTCTGCGCGACCGACGTCGACCGCACAGAATTGCGAGGAGAGCTTCGAACAGGTGCCACCATGCACAGCTCTTGCTATCCCGAGCGAGGGGGGAGGGCGGAGCTGGGGCCTCCGCGGGTCTCCGAGGATCCCCAGACAAGCAACAGGCGTCCAAGAGCCCGGATCAGCGTGCCCCAAACTTGTCGAGGAAGAGAGAGAGAGAGAGAGAGAAAAACAAAAAAAAAAAAGAGAGAGAGAGGAAGAGACGGAAGAGAAGTTACCAGGAGCCCCACACACACAAAGCACGAGGGAACTCAAAGAGAAGCCAGAAGAGGAGGAGGAGGAAAAAAGGTGGGGGGAGAGAAAGAGAAAGAGAGGGGACGTTTTGAGAGGAGGAGGAGGCGAAGGAGGAGGAGGAGAGAGCAGGGAGGAGAGAAGGAAGAGAAGAGGGTGGAGATCCTTGGAGAGGGGTGAGGAGGGAAAAAGGAGAAGGGAGCCCAGAGGGAAGGACTGATGGGAGGAGAGAGGGGAGAGAGGTGGAGGGAAGCGATGATGATGCTGTTGATTATGATGATGCGGCTGATGATGATGACGATGATGATGATGCTGATGCAGATGTTGATGCTGATGATACCGATGATGATGCTGATGATGATGATGATGGTGATGGTGATGGTGATGATGGTGATGATGATGATGATGAGGTGGTGATGATGATCCGAGAAGAAAGACTATGTCATGAGTCATGAGGTCCCACCAGCCCTCTGGGCGTGAATGGTTTAGCGAATTCCCTCGTCTAGCACCGTCCTTCCCCTTCGGGGAGGGTTTGCCCCACCCCCGGCCTTCTCCCCCTGGACCTGGACGAGAGGGTTCCGTGAGCCATTTGAGCGTTCAAGATGGGGGGGGACCAACAAAAACCTTCCATGTGGTTTGCGGATATGCACGATGGCTCAAGATGGCGTCCAAGATGTTCCAAGGGGTCCCCAAACCCCTCCAAGATGCGTCCAAGTGGGCCACGCAGGGGCCTCCCCAGGCTAGACCCAACGACGCGGCTGCACACCGGGCCAGGCGCCTAAGCCCCCGACCTGACACGCACGCGTTCCTATGCTCGTGCGGCGATACAGGCTCCACGACGTATCTACAGCCGACGGGCCTCCTGCCTCTTCGGGGCGAGGAGCGAGGGGGGAGGGAGGGAGGACAGGATGGACGGGAAGAGGGGGGGAGCACAGGGAGGGAGGAGCGAGGGGAGGGAGGAGAGGGACAAAACCGCAGGGGAAGAGAGTAAGATGAAGCCAGGATCGGGGCAAAATTTGACCGGGATGAAAATCATGCTGGGTTTTTCAAATCACCGGGGGGCGCCGCCGAACGGGCCTGCCACGCTTTGGGCGCCATCGGCTTCGCGAGGGAAGAAATGCGCCCCGGCGCGGATGAAGCCACGGCGCGTATTTGGCCACGCGCGCCCCCGAGGGAATTCAGCGCCAAGCGCATTTCACTCCAGAAGGCACGAGGTCAACAAAACAAACTTGAGGCCCCAAGGGGGCCCCAGGGAGGCGGACCGCCTAAACAATCACGCAAACAACGCAACGAAAAAACACGAAAATGCCAAAAAACGCGTCACTCAGTGACCTCTTCGGCCACGCAACACCGCGACAGTGCCCAAGAAGGCATTGGAAAACAAATCCCGCGCGCGGCCCGGCGACTTCCCCGCGCCGCCCCAAGGTTACCGAAACGCGCCGAAATAACCGCACAGAACACCCCGGAAAGTCTTTGGAAAGTTCCCGCGCAATACAAGATCCGCCACCGAACAATCTCGAGGACACCTAGCGCGTGCGCGCGGGCGTCCACCATGGATGCCCAACTCCGGTTTCCGAGACAATCGCGCGCAACCGCCTGGGGGCCTCGGCAACCTCGCGATTGGACCAGGGGCCCGCGGGCCCCAGGGAATCGAAGACCGAGGGCGCAACTCCGGAAGCATCGGGCGCGGCGCCAACCAATCGCTCGTCTCTGGCTGACAGTAGGACGCCTGGAGACCCGGTAAAACCTAATGAACCGCTTTTCAGAGATGCGCAGAAACAGAAACCGGGGCGCGCCAAATTCTCGCGTCCGAACTTCTCTGAGAATCTCTGAAAATCTCTGAACTAGCCACCCCGCGTGAAACATTCCCCTGATCCCAAAACCTCGGAGCTGGCCGAAACTCTCTGAAAGTTTTTCGGCCCGCGAAATTTGGCGCGCCCGGATTTCTGGTTCCGAGATTCTCTGAAATCGCGCTGCGGCGGCGCCCAGCAGGTCCTCGCGCGCCCAGGGTGGGGGCCGTGGACATCGCGGGCCGCGATGGTCCCGACCGCGAGGTCCTTCCTCCTGCCTCTCGACGAGTCCACGCTCATGGACACGCTCTCTGCGCTGAGCGTGGACCGCGCCATCCGCCGGTACTTCTGCGCGACGACAGCCAACTGGCCGCCGACGGACAAGGCGATTTTGTCCGAGCTGCCCGTGCCACCGAAAACGTACAATAGCCCCGGGCTCGGGGAGAAAAACTTTCGAAGCATTTTCAGGCCGCCAGCGTCGTGGCTGCCGGCCCGCCGCGCGCCGACCGAGAGACTAGCTGGGTCCATTACGTCCACGGCGGCGGGCGGGCGCCCAAGAGCTGTCGCCACGGTGCGCGCGGCGGGGCGCCCGCCCAACTGCAACCGCAAATGCGGCCTCCATGGCGTCACAGGCGTAGTAATATGTGCGACGCATTCTCGGGCCCTCCTTCAGCGCATTGGCCAGCGCCCAAGTCCCTGAAACGCAAAACTACTGCGCCCCCCGTGCAAGCCGCGCACCCGCTCACAATGCTCGTGCACACCAGATTTTCTGCCCGCCCTCAACCGTTTAATTGAGCACCCATGTGTTACTTGGGCTCCTCAAGCCCTCGAACACTCTTTGGGAACTTCTGCGAATGCGCGCGCTACGCTCCACAAATCGGCGTTCCATTTTTCTTTGGAACTCTCCCAAAATCTCTGGTTCCGATTTGTCCCGATCTTCCGCTCAACTGAGAGAGGGAGGGGGAGGGAGGAGAGGGAGGGAGGAAGGGAGGAGAGGGGAGGGAGAGAGGAAAGGGAGAGGGAGGGGAAGAGAGGGAGGAGAAGAGAGGGAGGGGAGGAGAGGAAGGGAGAGGGGCAAGAGGCGAGGACAGCATGGGCAAGGAGAGGACCCTTGCGGGCGCTGCGCGTCCTTCGAGCGCCTCGGCACCCTTCTGCGGCGCGGCGGCGAAGAGCGCCGCCAGCCGGAGGGGCAGGACGGCCTGGTGCATGGCCTCGGCAGCGGCGGGAGAGGGAGGGGGAGGCGGCTCCAGTGGTGTTCCTGTCTTGCCCTCGTGCTTTTGCAGCAGACTCCTCGTCCTCGTCCTCGTGCTGCCCTCGTCCTCGTCCTCGTCCTCCGCCTCCTCCTCCTCCTCCTCCTTGGTCTCCCTGGTCCTCGCCCTCCTGCAGCATGCTTCTCCCTCACTCACCCCACTCCACTGACAACCTAGGCCCATATGCTGCGAGGATGTGCCCAATCTAAGCCCTTTCGCCTCTCTCCTTTCTCCTCCTTCTCTGTCCTCCATGTCTCCTTCTCCAGGTCGCTCTTGTGAGTCCGGCTCCTCCTCCTTCTCCAGCGTTCGTGATGAGGCGCACCGAGGGCAGCCAATGACTCCAACGTGGTCTATGGGATATTGTACCATCTTACGTTGATAGGATCATCGAAGGATGAGGGAAAGACAAATCGTCATTTCTATTGAATACACGCCCTTCTCACTCACCCTTCTTCGGGAGGGGAGGGGCATCGTTTGCCCGCCATCTGTCGCACTGACCAGCATAGGAAGGCGACCGGAGAGAAAGTGTGAAGGGGAGGCGAAGGGGGTGCGTGTAGGGAGCGGGGGCGCCAGGACGTCCGACGTCGCGGAGCACGCGGCCGTTGAACAAAAACAAGGCCAGAGCTCGGCACCCCGTCTTGCCACGGGGAGGAGCCGCATCGATGCGGGAAGGCCCCAAGGCCGAAGGCAGGGAGAGCACAGCCGTCGTGACCTGCGTGACACACGGATGCGGAGCGAGAGATGGAGGGAGGGAGGGAGGGGGAGGGAGGGAGGAGGGAGGGAGGGAGGGAGGGAGGGAGGGAGGAGGGAGGGAGGGAGGGAGGGAGGAGGGAGGAGGAGGGAGGAGGAGGAGGAGGAGGAGGAGGGAGGAGGAGGAGGAGGAGGAGGAGGAGGGGACGGGGAAGAGAGACGGGTAGTGGCGGATGCTCCCGTGAGAGCGGGTCGCAGACTGTGGTAAGCTGGCTCGAGGGCACTTCGCAGGGCACCCACAACTGAAAGCTGAGGAGATGGGAGCAGAATGCGGCGATGGGGACAAGGGGAGCCGTAACGGGCAAGGCGGCAACATCGGGGATAGCTAGCACGGCCTCCGTCTTCCCCCGTCCTCCCGCATCCCACCTCGCCTGCCCCTCGGTTCCACGTATCACCGCTCCACCTCCCGTTCCCACAATCACCCTCCCGTTTCTGGTCTTCTTCCTCCTCCTCCTCCTGCTCCTCCTCCTCCACCTCCTCCGTCTCTCCCTCCCTCCCTCCCTCCCTCCCTTGTCTTCCGCCTCCTCCCCCTTTCCCTCCTCCTCCTCCTTGTCTCCTCCCCCTTTCCCTCCTCCTCCTCCTCCTCCTCCTCCTCCTCCTCCTCCCTCCTCTCTCCTCCTCCTCCTCCTCCTCAAATCTTCTCCTCCTCCTCCTCCTCCTCTTCCTCCTCCTCGTCCTTCTCCACCTCCTCAACCTCCTCTTCCTATTCCTCCCTCCTCCTCTTCCTCCTCGTCCTCCTCCTCCTCCTCCTCCTCTTCCTCCTCCTCTTCCTCTTCCTCCCTCCTCCTCGTCCAACTCCTCCTCCAAATTCTCCTCCTCCTCCTCCTCGTCCTCCTCCTCGTCCTCCTCCTCCTCCTCCTCGCCGCCCCCATCACTCCCAGCCCCTCATCCTGTGCACTCCTCCTCCTCCTCGCCCCTCGTGGCCGTGCCAGGGCGGCTCCACAGGCGGGCAGAGGGGCGCTGCCTGGTGCGTGGTGGCGAAGCGGCGGAACCATCCGGGGAGCGTGGCCGGGAGCGCGTCGGCGTAGCAACTGTGCGGACGAGGCGGCAGGGGGGGGTCCTCGGAGTTGGCGGGCACCCGCAAGTCGGGGGGGGCCTACCTGGGAAACGACCGAGGAGTGCCGGAGCTCGACATGGGAGGCGGCGGACACCCACCTCGCGCCTCACCCTGCCCTCGTCGCCGGCTGTCACTGCCGCTGAAGCCCGCCGACTAGGGTGCCAACCCCTCTGAATCCGCGAACGGTTCTCGCGGCCGGCACGCGGCACCCCCCTGAGAGGTTGCGGGGGTCCCTAGCGGCTGTGCGCCCGCAACGAGAGCAAACATAAAAGGCTGTGACGCGGCCACAGCTGCAGGTGGCGCGGCTTGTGCGACACCTTCCCCGCCACCTGAATCTGGCCCTCCGCCCCCCGTGTGACATCGCCGTTCCGCGACGACCTGGCACGGCAAGTTGCCCTCGAGCATGGTGCCGAGCACCAGCTTGTGGCAGAGAGCACTGGCCCAGTGACGGCCCGCCTTGGCATCCCAAGAGAGATCCCCACAGGCACCCAAGAGGCATCTGACCTACAACCAAGGCGCGGTGGAGGAATGGGCCGAAGGCCGCTAGAGAGAGAGAGCAAGAGATAGAGAGAGAGAGAGAGAAAAAGAGAGAGAGAGAGAGAGAGAAACAAGAGAGAGAGGGAGAGATCAATACAGTGGAGAGGAACACCATCGACGAGATAGTAGAGAGAGAGAGAGAGAGAGAAACTATAGAGGAGTAACACAAACGAGAGAGAGAGAGAGATAACGATCTATATATATATAAAGAAAGAGAGAGCGAGAAACAAAACATATACACACACATACAACAGAAACAACACACAGAGGAAGGGGGGCGCCGCGCGTGCGCACGCGGCGCCTGCACAGCGCGCCCTCGACGACCACGGTGCCGCACCTCCGCTCCAAGGAGACGCGGGGAGGGACGGACGCGCACGAGCCAGAGCCGAGGGGGGTGGAGGATCGGGTCGGGCGAAAGGGGGGGATAGCAAAGAGGGGGGTTTGAGAATCAGCTCACGAGGGTGATTTTCCCGGCGCCTCCCGGCGCCGGGAGGCGGCTATGTATCGAGGAATGGGCCCGGCGGCGGGGCCAAAACCAGCTGCATGCAGCAAATTTCGTACCCCCCCTTTCCCAATCCCCCCCTTTCGTCCGGCACGAGAGGAGGCACTGGCACGCAAGCAAGGTGGCATGCACATGCAGTCAACCCGTACAGTCATCGGCGTGACCTAAGGAACGATACCTGAGGAACGAAGCTCTTTTTTTCCACGGAATACTGTTCAAGGAACGATGAATGATACATAACGCATAAGGAAAATGCAGAACGCATGCAAACCTAAGGAACGACCGAATCCCTTTTGAAAAGCAAGTGTTCCTTATTCAAGCCACTCGCTGTATAACAAAGATTGGCGATCAGGATGCAGGGTTCTGAAAGACGCTCTGCGAGCGGGGCGCGTCAGGCGACAGAGACCAAGCTTGGGCCGGAGGGGAAGGGTGCAAAGACAGCCTTGGAATGCCGCTCACCCTTACTGTGCGGATTGACCAGCCATGGAAGTGCGAGCGAGCAGTGACCCACCCCTCGTTCGCGGCGGGCCCGATGATCACGCTCGGCGGGGGGTGAAGGGGGGCGGGGCAGAGAGCACGAGACCGCATGCCATGCGCAGCCCGTGCCGCGGGGCCACCGTGGCCGCGGGCCCCGAAGGGAGGCCCACGGCACAAGCGGCCGACGGCCCCCGAGCCTGCCGCGGAGCCGTGCCCCGGGCGGGGGGGGCCCCCAGGGCCGTGGCCCCAGCAGCCCTGCCCGAGGAGCGCAGCACCGCACGCGGCGCCGCGGAGCACCACGCGGGCGGCAGCTCCGGAAGGCCCACGAGCGCGACGATCAACAGAGGTGCTGGCAGCGGAGGCTCGACCACAAGAAGCCCTTCACAGGAGACCCAAGCACCCTGCCCCGAGGCCAGGGGGTTCCTGGGCGGCCCGACGCCTCCCTGTAACCCTGCTGAGCTCTCCGAGGCGCCGAGGGTGGCCCGGGAAGGCAAGCGGCGCCGCTAAAGTGGCTCAGCACTGCCTCAAGAGGCACCTACAGTGGGGGCCAGTCCACAAGGAACCTTCCACGAGAAACCCAACCCTGAGACCCCAGGGCGCCCATTGATCTTGGGTCTGGGAACGCCGCGCTCTCCACCGCAACACCATCGAAGCCCCATGGAAACCCATGGCACCCCTGAGGCAGGCAGGGCGCTTCTCGGCATGGGTCTCCACTGTGCGCGAGATGGCACACCGGTGGCTTGCGCGGTGGCCTGCGCGGGCCGCCAGGGCGGCACGCCGCAACGGCGACGAGGCCGCTCGCGCGCCTATGTCGGTGAAGGCGGCCCCGTGTTTGGTTTGACGTCGCTCACGAGGTAAGCCAGGCCTGGCGGGGCCACGGCTGGACTGCGCCGCTCTGGGACGCCGCCTGCTGGATCTGCGGCGAGATGTGGGTCCGGCGGTCGGTCGGGCTAACGGCGGGGCGCGTCAGCTCTAGTTACGGCGAGGGCAGAGGAAGGGCAGGACGGGAGGCGTTCGAAAAGGACGCGCGAAGCTAGGCAATGCTGTTCCACGCTAGGCTGGGCTACGCGAGGCCAAGTCGAGCCAGACTTGGCCTGGCCAGCCGACGCAATGGAAGGCTGGCTGCGCCGAACCAGGTCGGTGAACGCTGAGCCAGAATATAGGCTGGGCTAGTCTCAGATAGCCTGATAAGCGCGGGCGCGATGTTGACATCTGCACATTTCACATACACGCTTCTAGCATTATCATAAGTAAGGCTGCGCTGAGCCAGTGTACTACTATCTGAGCTTCGCCAGGTTGGGCAAGGCTAGGCCCTGAGGTCAGGTCAGGCTAGGTGGTCCTAAGCCGAGGAAACGCGGGCGAACCCTGAGCAAACTCTAGCTACACTCGACCAGAATAGTAAGGATGCACGGTAAGGATGCAAGAGCCTTGGAACGCCATGTTGACGTTTTCCGTGCGGAGCGCAGCAGAATGCCGAAGGATGCCGAATACCGAAGCGGCAGGGATGCAAGGGTAGCCTTGGGAAGTTGCCCCATCCTTAATATCATGATTGACTGTATCGAAATTCGGACCTGAACGTCCAACATACCATCCCAACGCTCGATCAGCCCCAGGCACCGCCAGGCATCCACAGCGCCCCCCCTCTCACAAGCACGCAGGTCTGGGCCCGAGGCAGACATCCCCCTCCAAACCTTCTGTAGAAATCTCGACGGCCGCAAGGCTGCAAGACCGGGTCACGAGAGCGACCCACCCCCCCCACTGCGTCAGCGGCGCGTACCAGCCCTTGTCGGACACCTGGTGCGCTGCCGGGTGCGCGGCAGGGAGGAAGGTGCGCTGAGGACCAGACGTCCGACGTCGCGATTTGGTTCAAGGCACCCCCCGAGCTCTCGATCTCGTCCCCAGGACCTGCGTTTCGTCGCGTTGAGCAAGCATGCTCACAAAACAAAAGCCATGTTCTCAGAACCTAAACCCCCGATGTGTTAGAACGAGACGGTCCCGGCCAGAAATGTTATACGAACAGCTCGTGGAAACCACTAAAAAGGTTCTTAGTCCATTCTTTGAAAGGCCTGTAGGCACGCCAGGGCGCCTCGCCACTGCTCGAGTCGTGGGCCGCTCCTTCCTCGTCCCGGGGCCCGAGCGCGGCAAGGACCGTCAAGAGAACCCGGCCGTGGCGACGAGACGCCTCTCGGGCCGGGCGAGAGGGAGGGATAGCAAAGGGAGGGTTTGAGAACCAGCTCGAGTAGCTGATTTTCCCGGCGCCTCCTGGCGCCGGGAGGCGGCCACGTATCGAGGAATGGGCCCCTCGGTGGGGCCGAAACCAGCTGCATGCAGCAGATTTCGTAACCCCCCCTTTCCCTATGCCCCCCTTTCGTTCGGCCCGAGCCTCCTGGAGGCCCTGAGATCCGTGGCTGGAGGCGGAGTCGCAAAGACACCTACGTTTAGGTCGGGCCTGTCCCCCTACAGGGGGATTTGGGCGTAACCGTAAAAATGCCCAACAGATATTCCAAACATGTCCAAACACAGTCAAAACATCGGCCCCTGACTACGCATGTCCTGACTAGTCTTGGATATTCCCCCCTGTAGAGGGAGAGGCCCGACTTAAACCTACTTCGAGCTTCTTGGCGAGCGTCGGGGGGGCGTCACCCCCGCCGACAGCAACACATCGACCCCCGTCGCGGGCAGCCACCAGCGCGCCGAAGGCGCTCCGGCCCCCGTCGCGGCGCGACGACGAGGCGAGGCGGACACTCGTCGGGGCGGTAGCCCCCCACGCTTGTGAAGAAACCCAGTGCACTTTTCACCAGCGCGAAGATCGGGGATGGACAGACCCCCCCTTTAGTAAAACGTGGTTTAGTGAAAACGACCTGAAGCCCAAACCTGGCGGGCGCAAGCCTGGAAAATAACGGCCACGGCGCCATCTCGAGAACCGAAAACGGACAATTCACGAATCGACGTGTCACTGTTGGGGGCTCTGGCCACCCCCGAGAAGAAGCCCAGTGGCACGGGGGAGGAGGAACGCGGAGAAGGGGGGCGGGGGGAGGAGAAACGCGCTCGCCCGCGAAATCTGGAGAACTCGCCGATCTGCGTGCCAAAAATCCGGCGCTCCCCTGGCCGCTGACGTTCGAGGCCGCGCTGGCTTTCGAGCGTCCCCGCAGGCCGGCGCCGAAGGCCCCCGTCGTCGCCGCCGGCGCCGCCTACTGGCGTGCCTCGGGCTGCAGTTAAGGGGGGGGGGGGTCAGGCGCCGGCCCGAGAGATCCACGCAGACCTCCTCCTCCTCCTCCTCCGCCTCCTCCTCCTCCGCCCCTTCCTCCTCCTCCTCCTCCTCCTCCTCCTCCTCCGCCTCCTCCCTCCTCCTCTTCTCCTCCTGCCTCCTCCTCCTCCTCCGCCCCTTCCTCCTCTCCTCCTCCCCTCCCTCCTCCTCCTCCTCCTCTTCCTCCTCTCTCCTCCTCCGCCCCCCTCCTCTCCTCCTCTCCTCCTCCCTCTCCTCCGCCTCCTCCTCCTCCCTCCTCCGCCTCCTCCTCCTCCTCCTCCTCCTCCTCCTCGCCTCCTCCTCTCCTCCTCACCTTTCCTCCTCGCCCCTCGCGGCCGTGCCAGGGCGGCGATGCGCAGACCTCCTCTTCCATCCTCCTCCTCCTCCTCTCCTCTCCTCCTCCTCCTCCTCCCCCTCTCCTCCTCCCGCCCCCTCCCTCCTCCTCCTCCTCCTCCTCCTCCTCCTCCGCCTCCTCCTCCTCCTCCTCCTCCTCGCCGCCCCCATCCCTCCCAGCCCCTCGTCCTGTGCACCTTTCCTCCTCGCCCCTCGCGGCCGTGCCAGGGCGGCGATGCGCAGACCTCCGAAAATGCAGCTTCTGCTGTCTCCGAGGCAGACGTAGTATACCCATCTTGTAGTATGTCGTTTCCCGAGCGGTGTGGCCAGAAAGCGCCCGCCACGACGCATACACTAGAAGATTTCTCGGTGCGCGCGTCGCCCCTGAAGGGGGCGGCGCACTCATAGTATTAGTATTAGGTCGGGCCTGCCCGACTGGGGGATTCTGGGCAAAACATTAAAAGTACGAAAAAATATACATGCCAAGAATGGCCAAAATAAGTCAAAACATCGTCCCCTTCTACGATCTTTGTACTGTTCCCCCTGTAGAGGGACAGACCCGACTTCATATCAGCATGTTGGGGTGACGCCGATTGCGCATCGGGGATCTTCTGACCTGGGTCAATCCAAACCCAGGTCAGCAGGAAACCAAACACTCCAATGCAAGAAAAGAAAACTGCAACGCAGATCTTCGCAAACCCGGGTCAGCCAATATGCGCGGCCGCCTCGCGGCCTCGAGCGGCTCGCTAATCCGGGTCAGCCAGAGGGGGTCTTCGCAGGATCCTGCAGGATCTGGCGCCCTGGCTGACCCCCGTTTGCATTGACCCCCGTCTCAAGGCTCCCGAGCGCAACCAACGGCGGCGCCACTGGCGCAGCCCTGTGTAGGCGCGCGCTGGGCGCTATAGAGACCAGGAAGGGGCCTCCAACGCCGGCCAGAAGGCTGTTCGCGCAGGCCCCCGGACACTTCCTTTCCTGTCGGCTCTCTTCTTCGAGAATCGGCGGTGGACAAACCTCCCTCTTCTTCGAGAATCGGCGGTGAACAAATAATTCCTTAATCGACGTGTCAGGGTAAGAGGTCTACCCACCTCCGAGAGAAGCCGATCGGGCTCGTCGACTTCTCGCCGACCGACGTGTGGCGATCGGGCCAGATAGATCCAGGTAGATGCAGGTAGGTCGAGGCGAATCCAGGCAGATCCAGGCAGGTCGAAGTACGTGCAGGGAAATCCAGAGATCTTCTCCAGGGAAAATTGGAGCTATTCGCGGCCGCTCCAGCACGAGTCGAAGGACGGCAGAAGTCGTTAAGCCCTTAACGAGCTGAGCGGGCCACGGGCCAAAATCGGGCGTTGGTTTAAAGGGACCTGGTTTAGTGATGTGTACCGGGGGTCGCCCCTCCCGCCCCGTTCCACTAACCGGATTTGCCGTCACCCGAAAAAAAAACAGCTACGGCAGAACTGGTTCAAATATTCTGGCTATTTAGGGGCCCCGGGACTCTACTACTCCAAATCCCTTCTAAATGAGAGAGCGTGATCCACCGCCGCTTTACTGTGGAAAATTGCCGCCCTTTTCCTCCGGAACCTGGGGGTCCCCCCTCCCTCCGAAAATCCCCCTCCCCTGCTGGACCCCCCCCCCCGTCCCCTGGCAAAACCCCCCCCTCCCCTATCCCCTCACCCCCCCCCCCCCCCCTCGAACTCGAAAACCGGGGAGAGTCACTACCGATTCGAACCCCCCCCCCTCCTCGAAAACCGGAGGGGGGGGTCACTGCCGGTTCGAACCACTGAGCTGTCCCACTGTTCCCACCACTGTCCCCACTTTCCCCACCACTGTCCCCACTGTACATCTGTCCCATTGTCCCACCGCCGTCCTCGCCACCGCCTTCACCACTGCCCCCACCACCACTGTACCCTCCACTGTCCTACTGTTTCCACCGCATTCCCACTGTCCCCACACCACTGTCCCCACCACCACCGTCCCCACCACTGTCCCACTGTCCCCACTGTTCCCACCATTGTCCTCACCATTGTCCCCACCACTACCGTCCCCACCGCTGTCCCCCCACTGTCCCCACCACTGTCCCGCTGTCCCCTCACCACTGTTCCCACCACCACCGTCCCCACCACTGTCCGCACCCCCCCCTCTGTTTTCGAGGGGGGGGGGGGGGGGGGAATTCGAACCGGTAATGACCCCCCCCAATTTGGTTTTCGAGTTTGGAGGGGGCGGGGGGGGGTTCGAACCGGTAGTGACCCCCCCCCCTTTTCATGATGAACTGGGGGGGGGGGGAGGGGTTCGAACGGTATAGACCCCCCCGGTTTTCCGTTGGGGGGGGGGGGGGGGGTTCAAACCGGTAGTGACCCCCCCCGGTTTTCCGCCAGCAGCGGTAGAACACGCTCTTTCTTATTAATCGACCCCCCCTTAAAAAACTGGACCCCACTCCAAATGCGACCTAATATTCCGGACCCCCCTCTTCGACGGGGCGCCTTGATAAACCGGACCCCCTAAGTTCCGATCCAAAGAAAGCGCCCTTATAAACCGGACACCCCAGGTACAAAAGAGGCGCCTCAAAAAACTGGACCGGGGACGATTAAGAAAGGATTTGGAGCACTGACCGGGCCCCCCTGCCCGGGGTCCTGGCTATACCCGACACACAAGCGCTGCGCAGAGCCAACGACCCGCCGGCCAGGAACCAGAGGCCGAGGACTGGAGGCCCTCCCTGGCCCACGGCGCGCCTGCATTGAAGGGGCCCTGGGACACACACACACACACACACACACACACACACATATATATATATATATATATATATAGAGATGTGTAAATATACACACAAATAACATAATCCCTCACATTTTCCCAGATGTTATGGGTTTTCGTCTCCCCCCCACTCAACATAGTTTCCCATGGGGAATCGACGATGAAGTGTGTGTGTGTGTGTGTGTGTTTTTGTTCCTCTCCCGATGCATTTACAATCGAAGCGTTGTCATACGGAACCCTCACTAAGGAACCAGGCCCCTTTCTTCCATGAGTGAAGCTCCGACTCCCCATGGGAAACCACAGAGGAAATCCAGAGACAGAGTGCAAAACAGTCGAGGAGCACTTCGCCCCGACGACAAAGGGTTCCCTCTTCAGTGGGCCGGCTGTGCGAGCAATGCCAGTGCCTCGGGAGAGACGTGCGCAGGGCTCGGGCGGGGCGAAAGGGGGGGATCGCAAAGGGGGGGGT